CTTTCATAGTTTTCATGAATATGGTTTCATCTTGACTAGCATCAGTGATGCATTTTTGAAATCGGTGTAGTTCTCGTTTAAGTATGCCAGCTATGGGAGTTTTGATAAAAAGGCATCAAGCAGCCTGTTAAATATCCATTAATTTGGAAGATGAATAAAATCATATATATTATGTACAACTTTAGTTTTGTGCAAGTCTGCTGATGACCCTTCAGCTATTCTGTAAATAAACACTTCTGCCTTCAAATATTACAATATGCCCTTGTTTAGCAACTGCTTTGAAATTGTTTGAAATTACAAAGGACTCCCTAAAAGGTATTTATGACATGATTTCAAAGTTCCAATGGATATATACCCGGCTCTGTGGTTATGTGACTGCATTTTGGGCGCTTGGAATTTGGCTTGCATTAATGGATGTCTGCAGCATCTTGTGGTCCTGTGGACACAATTTTTGTGGGTGTTGGCAGTTTCTGGTATATTCTTCCAGGAAAAAGAAGGAGGATTGGGGGGGGGGGGGGACGACGACGACGGGAAGGTGAGAAAAAAAAGCCCATTGAATTCACTCAACAACCACTGCAAAAAGGTCATAAAATTGGGTCTGGTCACATAGCGACCCTCTTAATGACCACAACAACATACTGGTACAACTGTAATTCTGGGCTCAATTATGGTTGTAAATTGAGGATTATGTGTGTAGAGGTAGCTAATTATAATTCTAGCTAACCCAAATGCCTTTGGATTGTCATTCAAGAGATCTTCTTTCTCACAGGCTAACTGAATCCTTTTGTAGTAGCTCTTTGGATCTCTCATATAAAAGAAATTACCAACCTTAGAGATGAGATTCACTTGAATATTAACAGTTTTTGGATGGCAATCTGCTAATGCTTTTTGCCATTTCTTAACGTTCTCCATAAAGTCTTTGCTTTTACTGTAAACTGTCTGAAGTTTAGACTTCACTTATAAAAATCTACAGGGAATTTCATAAAAATACCACCTCTTCTTGTAGTTGCTTTAAAGTTACAAAAAAAGGTATAGAAGAATTTTTTTTAAAAGTGGGTCAGCAAGAAAAAATGAATTCCCACTTTGCATTAATTTGTAACTAAACTTTTGTCTTCAAAGTATAAATTATTTCTATTATAAAAATTGGTTGAAGTATGTAAGAAGTTGGATCACTGAATTTGAAGCTTAAAGGGTATTTCTTCTTTTCTTTTTAATCTTTTATTCCTGCTTTTATAGAAAGAAATGCTTAATTCAGATGATAAAAGTATGTGCAACCCCTTTCCAAAATCTCTTGCTCTCTGAAGTTGAGGTTCTTATTTGACAATTGCATATATAATTAACACATTGTTTTAATTGTTTATCTTTACTTGTGTCCAAATTTTGCTAGGTTGATCTGTTTTAGAGAATAGTTGAGTCTACTCATATATCATTCTTTTGCTGGAGTTGGAGGCAAACATGGACTATACAACAACTCCAATTATACCAACATTTACTCTACTGTCAATAAAAAGCTACGCAGAAAAATAGTATTTCCATTTTGCAAATTTGTTTTATAACACAAAAATGTTAAGAATTCCATTTCAGTCTTTTGATATAGTTAATATGCACCAATTTTAGAACATGTTTCTGTAGTGTTGGTTCAGCATAAACTATGAGCAAAATTGAAACCTTTCACCTATTTCACAATGTGCCAAATTACACAGCACCGCTGAATTCAGAAATGGACAATGTTTTACTGACTATTACTAATATCTGGGACTCAATAAAAAAGGTGTTGTTTTTTTTAAAAAAGAACTATATCTATTTTGCACTTGTGGGTGATAGCTCTATGAGTACTAATGTTTACTTTATGCTCTCTCCTCACCTGCTGTTTTGCCACATCATGGATGATAGGATTTTCAGATTGGGTGGCACTTAACATGCGACTGAAGAAGAGGATCTCTCAAGAGAACTAATGGTGTTTATAACATGGCTAGATTAAAATCTTCAGGACATCTAGTCACTGATGTTGCCATACAAGAAAACAAATCCAAAACTGCAAACACAGAATTATAGTAGAAACATGGCATGTAGGAAGCATGGACACAATAAAACTCAACACAGTGAAAGATGAAATGAAGCAATTATGAATTGAATGGACTGGGATCAGACACTTTCAGTCACGCTGGTTATTACGGCAGGAAAGGTAAAAACGGTAAAGGAGTCCCTGTGGATTTTACTATGCTAGTTGTTGCAGAGTATGAGGCAGTTTCAAGGCCGTTAAGGCAGTGCTGTCAGAAGATATTTCTGCGGTCATGTGGCCAGTATGATGTCATGGAGTGCTGTTATTTTTCCACCAAAATGGTACCTATTTATCTACTCACATTTGCATGCTTGTGAACTGATAGGTTGGCAGGAGCTGGGGTGAAGATGGGAGCTCACTGTCATGTGGTGCTCAGGTCTCAAACTAGGTCTGCTGGCTTTCCAGCCAACAAGCCAGCATCTTAACAAGCCAGTCATTGTGCTGCCCATTAGGGTATGAAAAATAAAGAAGAAATGATGTTGCTTTTATAATTATGAAGGACATAACAAGAACAGTACTTGACTACAATACAATCAATGATCAACTAATATTGACTGATTTTACGGACAACCATTTGATATAATGATCACTCAAATTTAGGCTGCAACCACTGATGGTCAGAGGAAGAGAAGGTGGATGACTTGATTAAGTTCAATTTGAGATTGAAAGAACATGTCAACAAGATGTACTGCTTGTGATTGGAGACTGGAATGTCTAAGTGGAAAAATGAAAGACAAAAATGTAGTTGGATTATATAGCTTCAGGAATTAAAAAGAAGTAGGAGTATGACTTTATCAATTTCCGCCACTCCAATGATTTCTTCATAGCTGTTCTTCAGACAACCAAAACCAGGTCTCTATACATGGACATTACCAGATGTAATACAGTATATAGAAATACATTTTACTGTGTTATTGCTAAAAGAAGGTAAAAGAACTCAATTACAGCATCAAAGATATGGCCAGGTGCTGATTGTGGAACAGATCATGAACTGCTCATGTGCAAACTCCAAGTTATGCTAAAGAAAAAGAAGAAAGCCAGTCTGTTTCCGCAAGGTGATCTTGAATGTATACTCTCATTTCCAAGGAGAACATCATGAATTGCTTTGTAGCCGTGAACCCCGAACCTCACTGAAAAAAACTCAGAGGAATTATGGAATGAATTTAAAGAAGTAGTTAAGGATTCATATGGAAAGTGACTGACAAATATGATGAAAGAGAAGAAAGCAAGATGTCAGAACAAACTGTGGAAATTGCCAAGAGGAGAAGCCAAAGTTAGGTCATGAAGCCACAGTATGGACAGAACATGGTAAAGCAAATGGGCAAAGGTTGGGCAAAAGACTGTGTCAAGGCTGCTGCATACTCTCCTTATTTATTGAACCTGTACTCTATATGTATATTAAGGGAAGCTGGATTGGAAAAAGATGCACGTGATTTTAAACTGGAGAAAGGAGCATATATAACCTGCCCTATGCTGATGTTACTATCCTGATAGCCAAAATGCAAAGGATCTGCAAGCTCTCAGACTAAAAGTCAAAGAACACAATGAAAAAATAGGACTAAAATTAAATATAAAGCACAGACTAAGTTAATGACAGGAGGTAAAACTATCAGCCTTAGAACTGACAATGAAGATATTGAAGTAGTGGGTAGATTCAGTCTTTTAGGATCAACCACAGAGTTTTGTACACTGTGATGAAAATAAGATGATGGACCAATAGCTGTTTCCTCAATTGAGCCTGCAAAGCAGATAATGGTACCTTCTGGTAAATGTGTTCCATCGTATCAGCAGCGTAAGTTTTAAAATTTGCAATAATTCAAGCTTACTTGAGGCAGAGTCAGTGTTTCACAATGAACAAGCAGTAACTGCACATTTATTCCTCAGTGAATTGACTGAAGGAATGGATTTCATGCTGATAAGTATAATAGCAGGCTGGCTAACACATCTGTGCAGATATTATCAGTTTTGTATATGTCCCTTATGGCTTCTCTTGCTCACTCAATTTCTCTCTGGTTGCTTTTCTCTCTGGTTGCTTATTAACCCTTTTAAGAGGTTTTTCGCTGGTTGCAGTTATCAAAGACATTACAGATGAAAAGCTTAACTGGGTACCTATTAGAGAGTCAAATCACTTTAGGAAACCATAGAGATCAAGGATATGACTTAAGGTATATGATCAATTCTCGTTTTCCTTTCTCTGAACATACTATACAACAAGGTACACATAAGTAAAACAAAGATAATGATCATGTTATACCCAAAGCAGAAGACTGCTCTCTCTCTTCCCTACCTTGTTTTGCATGGACATTCTCTTCTACTGAAATTTTAGAGTTCACTCTGATCAGGATTATTTTTGCTCCAAAAGTCTGCAAATTACATCTAGTACCCAATTAGCATACTGAATTGGTAGATAAGCTGGTATGAATTAAATATTGTTAACAAGAAACGGAGTGCAATTACTAATACCAATGATCACTGGTCCAAATCTTAAAGGGGCAAGGACACTTTTATTCCTCAAGTGGGATGAATTAAATATTATTAACAAAAAACCAGAGTGCAATGATTAATGCTAATGACAATTGGCCCCAAACTTAAAGAAACAGGGACATTTTTATGCCTTAAAATGGGGTGGGGGTGGGGGGGTGGATGAGGGCAGGGAGAGAAGCAAACCTGCTATGAGGTATTCCCTATCTCTACAGTTTCCACTATAATTAAGAGATCAAGCAGCTTTAAGCCTTTATGGGACCTTTTTATATGATGGCTTCTTACTCTCTCAGACATATTTCCAGTAATCAATGAGCTTGACTCCATCATCAATAGAATATTGGACAAAAGTGACTATTCTCTGTATTTTGTATACAAAGAAGGCCATTAGGTTAATAATGACTTTCTGAATGGGTCACAAGAAGTGTTAGCAGGTGTACTTATCACATATCCCTACCTCATGTCCTCTGTCTTGCACAGGACATGACTCACTGTCTGCTTCAGAGAACGATCCAGACTCATCGCTAGAGTTTGTTCCATAGGATGGCTCACATTTTATCTGGGGTCTGACTTGGCTGTATATTCCATCTCCCATCATGCTCGGCTCCTGATGCTCAGTGGCCAGGAATCGAGCTCCTTGAGAACAGGGGGAAGATGAAAACTCACACAGAGGCAGGCTACAGGGAGAACCACCGCTGCCATCCTCTGCATAAGAGTAGGAGGAACATGAACTGGAGGTCCTTGTTCTGGTTTCCAGAGGAGGAGACCGAGGACAAACTTTAATTGGCACTGGGCAGCTGGTGTTGGGCCGCATCCGTCCTGGGAAGTGGTCAGCTGTTTGTCCAATATGAGCATAGGTCTGGCAACTGGGAAGAGATTGGCTGCTTCCTGCCCACAGACCTTTTGGCACAGTCTCGGTGAGGTCTTTATCCAAGCTGCTCATGCCAGAATATGAATGCACCGAAGTGTTTACTTGGTCACAAACATTTGAAGAGAATATAACGGTCCTCCTGTCCACCTCACCTTCCTGCTTACAGAGACCTTCAACAAAGCCAGGACCTCTTAAAGGTGATCCCACTGTAAAATTGGAAGCATCCTTCTGAACAGCTTGGGAGAGCCCATAACTGCCCACAAAAGGGACATAATCAGCTTTATGGTCACCCTGAGTTGTCCCCTTGTCAAAAGGGCATGCTGGATTTCTGGCAAAGTGCTGTTGGGAAGTACTTGGGAAGCCATCTAAGTCTATAGTTTTTGTTCGGTTGAAGAAAGATCTTAGGCAGGAAGGAGAGGAACTATTTTTAGACCTGCCAGCTCCATTGGGACTTGGTTGCTTTCGGTCCATTTCAACATCCCCTTCTTTATCCCTGACACTAGTCTCATCTCCAGAGAGGCAAAGTGTGATGTTTTCTTCATCATTTTCCTCATTCCTAGGCTCACTTTTAATTTGCCCGACAGCAAGTTCTGGTTTGAGGTCATCACCTGAACCTTTTTCATTGAATGTGCTTGTGAAACCTGAGGTACTAACATGTGATGCGTTGTAGACATTCTTGGTACAAGCTAGCTGGTATTTCTTATACCTGGGGTACCGTGTTACTACTTCTTTATCCAAACTATCCTTGCCATCATCCAGTATTTCCGGGTCTGGCAGCATCCCTTCTTCCTTACTGGCTCCAGACATGGCGGGTTCAAAGTCAAAGGGCTCCGAGTGCATTCTCTCTCTTGAGCAAGATATCTTTGAAGTCTCTGACTCCATAGTTTCTTCCTTTTCTCCCTCTGAGTTTTCATCTTCATGCATCCGCTGATAGGTGAGATCCTTTTTGCACAGGAACAGGCCATCTTCATTGTTCAGCAGCTGGGTCTGAAGGAAGCTGAAGCAGGAATCCTCCAGGTTGTGCATACGTAGAAATTCGGCACAATGGATGACCTCTTGTATGTTCTCTCTGCTGAGTAATAGCTTAGCAGTGTAGGCAAACTGCAACAACGGACCAAATCCCTTGGCAGTGACCTGCAATGAAAAACAAAACAAAACAAAAAATAGGGAAATTGCCAGCATTACCTTCAACATTGCTATTTTTCCAAGCCCGTCTAGTATATTAGTCAGCACTGGAAAACACCTCTGCTAATTAATTATTTTGTCTTTATATTTTCATGTAACAGAATGATCTAAACAATACATTCAACAAATGATTCAAGGTCAATGAGATTTCTAGCACATGCCAAATAGTATTTTGTCTAGGAACATCCTGGATGTCAAATGTTTCACAAGTGCATAACTGTCAATTTTACAATGTTTCTCTAAAGCAGACTTTGCAATTAGAATAAAGTACATCAGCCATTACTAAATTTATTCTTTGAAAAACTATACTTTTCAACAGAAATTTAAATTTATTTACAATATTTAATTTTCTTATTCAGTTTAGCTGGGTCAAATTCTCTATTGCTGGAAAAACTTTAATTAAGTGTGCCCTTCAAAAAAAGTCAGGATCCTTGGGAAGCATGTGGAATTTAATCTGAGTTAAGTAACAAGAATAATTCTCACTTTGCCTGTGACATTTAATCATGTGTTTAGAAAGATAATTTGGAGGTCAATTTCTCCATCAGCAATATGCCTAGGCTGCCACAACCATTACTAAATTACTCTGGTGATGCAACCATTTGGCAGACTGAGTCAAATCAGCCAAGTTTCTAATTTAACCCCCCCCCCACCGCTTCCACACACACCCCCAAATAATTTTTTTTTTGATTCACGTTCCTTGTGGAGTTTTATTCCCTCCTGCGAATACAAAACACAGCCTTGCACTTACAAAGCATACCCACTAGGTGGAAGAACTGCAAAAGAAGTAAGATGTCCTCTTAATGTATTTTTAAACAGCACTTTCTCTTGATGAGGTCTAGGCAAAACATTTCATTGACTCAGAACATTCCACAGTGCATTTTTCACTCAAGCTGAGTCAAAGCTTTCAGGCCCCTAAAACTGCAGCATTCCAGACATCTGCTCCTTGTGTTTTGCTCCAGAGGGTTTTGCATGCAATCTCTTTTGGAGGAATTGCCACACCATCGTCTCAGACACAGCTGCTTGCTTTTATACATGAGGCAAAAATCTGAAGGGAGGCGGGAGTAGGGAGCTACAATAGGCACTAGGTGTTATTGTTGTTATTTTGAAGCACTACAGTAGGAGAATTTACAGATTCAAGAGAAGCCTTTAGCAAGGATTGTTGGAAACAGCAGAGATCAGTGCTAGTGGTTCAAAGATGTAACTTCCATAATTAAAGACAAGCAAGGCTTCCTGGGAGCTACAAATGTTCAAAGCTTTGCGAAAACTGATTTGGCTCTCACCAACGTGCTTGTATTTAGAATGCTAGAACAAGAAAACAGATATTTGAGGATTATAAAGTGGTTACAAGGGGGAAGTTTAAAACGGTACATATTACCAGTATATGTTTATAATATTACAGCTATACACTGGGTTGTTGCAAAAAGATCTCTACCTTACCAAGATAAGTTATAAGCAAACTAAGTTTTAAGAAGCATAATTAAAAGTATGGACAGCATATAAAAATGGCCTACGGTATTATTCATGATGCAAATAAAATCTATGGATTTAAAAAAAAATTAAAACAATGCATTAAAACCAATACTTCAAAGGCACTGAACTGTTAGGTCTTTTATTAAATAATTCAGCTTTTGATGTCCACACAGATTGGATGGTTCTATAATGTAAATTAAATCAAAATATGATTGGATGATTTTGGTTTAGAATGTTGGACGAACCCTACCATTATGGTTGAGAAAAAGAATTAGCTGTGGCTTGATTCATGTAATTATGTGTAAACACGGACATTCTAACTTGGCATCTGAACCTTGAAAAGTGTACATTCAGGACCAATATGTCAAAAAGCCTCCTGTCACATCTTTTTACTGTTAATCTATGAATTCTAGGACACTACTTCTTATCTGAGAAAAAGAGTTCTAAGAACATTGGAATCTCCATGAACCTAATTTATATTAGCTATGGAGTCATAAATGTCTACATGGAACCCATACAGTTCTTCCATCTAGCTAGATGCTCTTTCCCTCACCAAGACACAGAAAAGTAGGAGATCAAAGTTAAAATTCTTATTCAATTCAGTCAAGAAAGGTTTTTGCTGTCCTGAACAAACTGCTCATTTTTTGCTTACTTGCAAGGCAGCTGAGATGATTAAAATGAACAAATGATATAATGACATCCTAACACTAGAAGAGTTATAGAAATGCATACTTCTTGAGCAAAGCAAGTCTGATAACTCAAAGGGGTCTTTCTGCCAGATGTTACTCTGATTCAGTGAAAATTCCTGTCTCTAACTCCTATCTCAATGGATGTTCCTCTTTTTCAAACATATAACTCTTCAAATTGCTTGAGTCATCTTTTGTTAATATTTACACAAAATGTGGCATTGAAGTACAAGTCGCTTTCTGGTGCAGATACTTCACACCTTACTTCATTTTTATGCCTGCATTAAGCCCCAACTTTTATTTTATAGGATAGATTTTGTACCAATGACCTGACAGGCATTATCACAAAACTGTAATTTATTTAATAAAAGAAAATTCTAGAAGTACCAGATTTAGTTAGAATTAACTCTGCTACTTTTCACACACTTCATACTTAAGACTTTGAATGTCACTTGCTTTAAAAATTCTTTCTCTTCTTTATTAAAAGAACAAAATGTTGGTGTAAGCTTGACATATATACAAATATGCATATATCTTTGTATTTTGTATTCTTAGTTTTTGAAGTTGCCATGTACATTATCAGCTCTCTAGTAAAAAGTGACAGACAGATGTGTCTGGCACTTCCAAATGCAGAGCTGCTTAGATGCAAACTTTATCACATAATTTTTGCAGATTGCAGTTAAATTGTTTGTTTTTAACAAATACAGGACATTTGTATCCAGAGGGAAAGAATACATAAACTTTATGAGGATGAACAAGCTATTTAAAAAACAAAAACAAATATTCATTAGGCTAGAACAGTTTATGGTGACTTTTAAATTATGCATCTCAAACTAAATTACCATCAGTTCCAGTATCCTTTGGCAAAAGCAAAGTGTATGATCATACTTTTTGTATAGATATAGATCACTTTCCTGAACCCATGCCCCCAAGACATGTTGGAATTGCAATTCCCAGAATTCTCAGCAGCACTGGGCATGATGATTGCAAATTCTGAGTGTTGCAATGCCAATACTTCTGAACTAGGTTGGGCAAAGCAAATATATGGAAAATAATGAAGGAAAGCTTGTCAATACTACCAAATCAACAGCACTTCTTTCTCCTAAATTCAGAGGGTAGGGTAGTTAGGAAAGTCAGTAAGTCTTGATGCATCTCAAGGGCTTATATTTTGGAATAAACCAATAGTACTGTTTTTTCAACTTTTAAAGCCTAAACAGCAGGAGGTGTGCTGTCCAGACCGTATATAGTTAATGGGGAATTGGTATAGTTAGTTAGGAATTGGGAGCTGTCTCTTTAAGGGAATGCATCATGGTAAATGTAGTTAAGGTATCCTGGGAAATGTAGTCCATGTCATGTGGCCACATCTATAATCCTGATTGGTCAGTGAATTGACCCTTGGTGGGTTGGGGGAGGTTCCTTCATTCTTGCCTGAACCCAGCATCATGCCGCTGCTTCACCCCCTTGCTCCATCATTATTGGAATGAAAGGAAAACTATCCTTTTACAGCAGAAAGTCAGCTATGCAAAGAGTTGGACATTGAGATGAATCTCGATGTAACCATGAGTTATCTTGAGGATGCCTGATGAACCAATAAAAAGACTTTGTATGGATGCTTTGTGGAGTGATCTGTCTGCTTTATAATCAGTTTATGGTTGTAAGGTCCAGAACAGGAGGCTGTTTATCAGAGAAAACACATAATTTAACAAGAACCTTTCGGGATATTAATGATCTAAAATAACAGCCTCTTGGTTGGGGGACCAGTAGGAAGCCTTCTCCCCTGCTACCTTCAAGTGTCATCCCTTTTGAGCACCATGCTTGCCTTTTTTCAGAAACCAAGGTCAAGACCTTCTTCAGCTATTGGTAATATATCCTGATGTCCTTATTGGATTTTAATGGTCTACATTTTAAATAGCCACATTACACTCTCAATAAGTAAAATGAAGGACAAAAAAAACTGAAAGGCTAAATAAGTAAACAAATTATGGATTCTGCAGATTAATTTCTCATAATGTACTCCTGCTTCTCAAGTTTACTTCTTTTACTTTTCCTCCCACTTAATTTAAATCCTGAAGACAGGAGCCCTTCTGTAGTACAATCTAAATAATCTTCAAAGAAGCTAGTAATATTATATAGTTGGGGTAAGAATCAAAATAGGGGCCATAACGTGTATCATCTGCGGAGCTACAAAGGAATATCCAAAATAGGTAGTCCTTGACTTACAACCATTCATTTAGTGCTGTTAAAATTGGTTTTGTGTTTTATCAGCAAAGTTCATCTGAATTGTTTATGTAAATTATTTGACACTACATTGAAAAATGCTATTTTTTGTGAAATTAGGTCTTCCAATAAAGAGTTGTCTAATCAGAGTCTGCTGGTAAACGTTGCTTGAATAGTCAGGAAGATATAGATTTTTGTGCTGAGTTTTAGGGGAAAAATTACTCTTGTATCATCTCCATCATAATAAGCATATTAAGCTGGGAGGTAAAAGCTCAGTAATACAGAGATGATTAGGAAATATGCACCTATAAAAATACCATTGAGGATTTTAAAATAAGTGTATTCTTTTGAACTTGAGAATGTTATCAATCTCGATTTTAACATTTTAAACAGGGGCAATCATGCCCTGCTATTGTACTGCAACACACGGAAAATTGTTAAATAGCTTATAGAACATAGCAACATTCCGAGCCTGAGAAAATCATCTGGACTACAGAATTAAGATATTGTCAGAAAACATTTCAATGTTTCACTTCAACAGATAACAAAAGTGTTCAAAATAATTACTTGGCTGCA